GCAGCCTGTGAGGAAGAGAGGCAGCAGCTTCTCTGGGAGCTGAGGAAGCTGCAGGGGTCCCTGGAGCAGAGCAAGCAGGAGGTAAGCATGGCCCAAGCTTTCCCGCAGGGCATTGGGCACCTGTGCTCTGCCCGTGTCTCCCTCACTGCCCCTCTGTGCCACGGGCAGGCCCGGTTCCTCCAGGAGATGCTGCAGCAGCAGAGCAGCCAGGCCCTACGCTGGCAGCAGCTACACCAGGACAGCAAGCAAGCTCTGGCGACGCAAGAAGAGGAGCTGGTTGTTCTGAAGGTGGAGCTGGCCTTCCTGAAGGGCGAGCTCCGCAAGGCCACGGAGCAGGTGAAAGGCCCCTCAGCACAGAACTGCCGCCTTCCGACAGCAGCTCATGGCTGGCGGTGCCCAGGCAATGGCTCTCCTCCCGAGCCGCTCTCCCAGGCGCTGGCTGCCCAGCCCCACAGGCTGCTGCCCCAGCACAACCTGGCTTCTCCAGCTGCCCTGAGGCCTGGGCTCAGAGGCTGGGAAGAGCAGTCACATGCTGGTTCACACGCGGTACGGGGGGTCATTCTTTCCAGATAGAAACGCTGCGCTCTGCCCACGCTCTGGCACGCTCTGACGGCAGTTGGCCACACAAGGAGACGGAGCTGGTGCTGGTCAACATCAGCCAGTGTGTGAAGGAGCAGATGTGAGTGAGAAGCCTCATCAGAGCAGAGGGGCAGGTGGCTGCCTTCTCCCCACCCCAACTCACTCAGCTCCTGCCTTGTTTTCAGGCAGTCAAACAAGAAACTAGGGCACACGGTCCAGCAGCAAATCACGCGGACCGCAGAGCTGACAGCAGAAAAGCAGTAAGTGGTGAACATGGGGAGTGAGGCTGAGGTCTCTGCACACAGCAGTTTGCTGCCAGCAGAGTGACAGATGGGCAACTGCTGGACCACCCATGCTCCTGCAAGGCCAGCAGATCAGGGTTGTCTTGGCACCGTTGCATCACTTCATCTCCCCTGCCTTTCCTCCAGGCATCTTCAAGACACACTGGGCAGGATGCAGGGGCAAAACCTGTACCCCACGGTCAGAACACATAAGCAGCACCGTTAAGTGTGAGCAGCCGAAGGTGAGCAGAATTCCTGGCACAGCCTGGCCTGAACCAGGGCTGGGCCCATGACCTCACGTGTACGGGGACAGCTGGACACTGGCTGCCTGCCCAAGGCATGGCTCGTGGGAGAACTGCCTCTGCAGCAGTGTGGGCCAGGGATGGGCTGTCTTTGCCCTCTCGGTCAGGGTAATTCTGTGCCTTGTCCCAGGCTCTGCAACGCAACAACTTGACAGTACCAGCCCTGCATGACTCTGCAGGGCTGCCTCCACCCAACACTCACCTCCAGGACAAGAAACAGTGCCAAACAAAGCAAGGATTAGACTGACAACCTTTAAACAAATAAAATTATTTCTGTTCCGTAGCAAAATTAGTGCCAAGCACCAAAGCCTTCCTGGGCCACAATCTGTAGAGCACCTCGCAGACTAGAGTGATCAAAGGAGCTGCACACCCTCCTAAGACTCAGCTGCTCCTGGAAGTCTTTAAGCCTCAAAGCAATGGGCACTGCCTTCTCAGAGGCCAAAGCGGGCTGGGGTGCGTCGTGGCGTCAGGGGCTCCCCCTGCTCCTTCCGCCCAGGGGTGTAGATTTTAGTGGATCTGCCAGGAGAGGACAGGGTGATTAGTGGAACATGCAACCTTTCCCTGCACCAGAACACCCATGGCGAAGCTGAGATCCTGCACACGGCTCACTACTCCTGCTCTTCAGCAGGCAGCTCGTGGCCAAGCAGGGCCAGCACCTACCTTGCACTGCCCAGTGGGTTACGGCGCTCCTGCTCCTCCCGGCGGGCACGCAGCTGCTCCTCAGCCAAAGCCATCTCTTCCTCCATGGCAGACACTTCCTCCTTGGCACGGCGGCGATTCTCCTGGAGCAAGGCAGCAGTAGGTCAGGGACAGACAGAGAGCTGGCCAGCAGCAGACTCTCTGCAGGCCCACAAAACACACACACACGCACACACACACTGCACTAGAACAGGTGTGCAGTGGGCCTGCCGTCTACCAGCTCGTCCTGGGCAGGAAGACTCACCTGGCGCGACTTGCCAGCATGTTTGATACTATAGAACATGGGGCCCAGCTCTGCCAGCCACTCTCCATCCACAGCAGTGACACACTGCATGTATTCCTGCAATGACAGAAGGAAAGACCAGGGTAGCAGGATGGCACTCTCAGGGCCGAGGCACCATTTTCAGCGCCATGGCAGCTCCCTCCTGCACTTGCTGATGGCACTTCTCAGGCTGGGACTATATCCCTTCCAGACAATGCCTCCTGGCCTCAGAAGCTGCTATGGGTGAGACTTGGTGAAAGGGCTAGACTTGGTGAGACCACAAAGAGGTTCAAACACGTCCCACACAGGCCAGTAAAAAACATTGGGAAAGCAACAAACAGGACTCTGCAGATGACACAGACAGGCCTAGTTGGTACAGATGAGAAAGGCTGAGAACTGCCCTTCTGATAGATCCCAGTATCACAGCAAAGCCCTCCCATCTCTCTCAAGGCACTCCTCACCCTTCTTGCTAGCCCTCAGCTGAAGCTCACCTTGGTGGTCATGACCAACTCATGATACACAATGTAGTCTGGAGTGTAGCCCATGCCGAACAGAGAGCTCGTGGGGTGCAGGTGGCAGGGCATGCCTGTGCGGATGTTCACATACTCCCCAATGCCCTGCAAAGACAAGTGTGGTTAGCCCACCTGTCCCCAGACAGGGCCTCTCAGCCCCCAGACTAGCACAGACACCTCTCACCTTCAGCTTTGCAGCCTGGTGGAAATACGCAGCACAGATGCACTTCCTGACAACATCCCAGTCAGTACCACAAGACGCTAGGCTCATCCGCTGCTGCACCATAATGTCCTTGAGCTGGGCACGCACCTCCCGCACCTGCAAAGACACGTGCAGTCGGATCCCTCTCCTGCCTAAGGCTCCCTCCTCCAGCCTCACTGCCACAGCCTCACCTTCCGCATGGCCTTGGCATGGATGAAGTGCTGGTTGCACCACAGTGTAGAATAGCTGTTGTTCTTCCACTGCAGGTAAACATTCAGGTAAGTCAAGTGATCACTCTCTGGAACAGCAAATTTCTCCCGCACTTGGTCACTCTCCTCCTCTCGGCCCTGAAACATGAGCAAAGAACGCGGGTTAGCCAAAGGGCAGGGGAAGGTCCCAAACTGCTGACAGAACAAACAGGTACCTTAGGCCGATAAAAGATGGCAGGCACAGACAACATGGAGACAATGAGCAAGATCTCAGAGCTGCAACCCATGTCGCAGGAGACAATGAGCATTTTGGAGAGTGCAGGATCCAGTGGAAACTCCACCATGAGACGTCCTGTTGAGGTCAGACCACCTGTAGGAACAGCATAGGCATCAGCAACTGCGCAGATCCCAGTCCCATGGGCTGACAGCTTGCCCTTGGCAGCCAATACCTGTGTTATCCAGGGCCCCCAGGATCCACAGCTGGTACATGGAGTTCAGCATGTTGTCCTCAGGGGGCGGATCCATGAAGTGGAACTGCAGCAGGTCCTGCACACCCAGGGACTTGAGCAAAAGCACTACATTGGCAAGGTTGGTGCGCTGGATCTCGGGCACCGTGGTTGTCAGCAGCTCGTTCTTGTAGGCACTCTGGGTGTAGAGCCTGGGGAACAGATGCCAAGAGCATGCTCCTTCTGGTTCAGGCCACTGTGCTCCTTACTGACTCACCAGCTGTTGCCCAACCCAACCAGGCATGGCACAGGGCAGCAACTCTGCACTCAACCAGGCCAGCCAGCAGGACTTCAGGGAGGAACATCCACCCTGGCCAAAGTATGACCTTCCCAGCACATAAGGGTGCCTGGGCTGCAGTACAGTGAACACTCCTCTCAAGCACAGTCCTTCCCTGGGCACAGACCAGTCTCAAAGCAAAGCTTTGAGAAGGCTGCCTTTGGCTTGGCTGTTATCCTGACAGCATCAAGGGTGGAACAGCCACACATGAAGATGGGCAAGGGAAGAAACTGGAACATATTCCTTCCTCTGCAGAGGCACTGGGTCCAAAAGAGAAGGCCTCAAAGTCTGCCTACTGCCCTCTTCCGCCCAGAAGTTTAAGATAATGAACAGCTTCAGTGAGAAAAAAATGCATATAAGACAATGTCAAGCTGTGGATACAACAGCAACGGGAACACTGATGACGTGCCTACCTGAAGCAGTGGCCTGGGCCTGTTCGGCCAGCTCGCCCTGCCCTCTGATTGGCATTGGCTTGACTGATGGGGTAGATCTGCAGTGCATCCATGCCTATACGGGGGTTGAAAACCTGTAGGGCACAAGAAGAACAGACTGAAGTAAGGGGAAGGCTGGGTCATTCCCGCAGAACTCCCTCAACCCAATCCGAGATCACAGACATAAACAGTACAGGAAATCCTGGCTTACCTTCAACTTGCAGTAGCCAGAGTCAATCACAAACATGATGCCGTCCACCGTCAGAGAGGTCTCTGCAATGTTAGTGGCAACGATGCACTTCCTGACCCCATCCGGAGCCTGCAAGCATACCTTGCATCAGTCAAATCCCTGGGCAAGGGCCTCTGCACCACCGAGGAAGAGTGCAGAGCAGCAAAACAGAACCCAGAAGGACAGTGGTGACTATCGGGAAGCTGAGGGGGGCACATCCTTTCTCTTCTCACACGCAATACAAAAGGCATGTCTGCACCTCTGACTCATGCTCAGTTGTCTTCCCTGCACTAGTTTCCCCTGTCCCCACTCCTACCACAGAGCACACATCAGCACCTTCTGGAAGATCTTGGCCTGCAAGTCTGACGGCAGCTGAGAATAGATAGGCAGTACAGCAAGAGCAGGCGCCTTCTCCAGCTCCTCAAGGTGCTCCACAATTTGCTCTGAGGTCACCTAGACACAAAGAGGGGTGTAAACATAAGATTAAAACAACGAGGGGGTAGGACAGTGCCTGCTCTTTCAGCTCACCTCTATGTCTTCCTGGCCAGGCATGAAGACCAGGATGTCTCCGGGAGCACCAGACAAATGGACCTGCAGGGCTTGTTTCACTGCAGCCTCCACATAATCCTCTTGTGGGGTCTGAAAGGTACAGCCTCAGTTACAGATGCCAAAAATATCACCTGCCCCATCCTGAGTGCAAGCCTGCGTAACACCACCTCCTCCACTATCCTTTCTGTCCACCACAGAGTACAGGACACCCAAGCCACAACCTTCTCCTGTTACAACAGAACTTCCCTCCGCAACGTTGACCATACCTTGCTGAAAAGAATATCAACAGGGAATGTGCGCCCAGGAATGTGGAAAATAGGGACGTTTCCGAAGAATGAAGCAAACTTATCTGCATCCATGGTCGCCGAGGTGACAACAAGCTTCAGATCTGAGCGTCGGGCCACCACCTAGAAAGCAGATGAAAGGAGCAGTAAGGAAGACGTATTTGTGCATGGCTGCAGGCTACTTACATCATTACTGAGACAACAGCACAGGACAGAGCTTCTGCTGTACTCTAGAGGCACTGGCCATTAATGCCAGGGAATGCAGATGCTGTATGATCTGTGCAGTTCAAAAGACTCAGTCCAGGAAGCCTTAAGTCAGCAAAGGTCTCTGTACCTAGAGTTTCTGACAGCCAGCAAGCCTGTGGCAGCACTTAAGCATTCGGGGAGATTTAACCCCCTAGAATGAGGGACAAGGATGTTGGAGCAGCAAGTGCAGACAGAGATGTTGCACCTCTGCCTCCTTCTCCCAGACCTGGTAGAGAAGTTCTGTCCCTGCCAAGACTCTGCTTTAAGACCAGCTCACGTGCCCTGTGCTGCTGCCCTCTAGCCCAGGCTCACACACACCTCCCGAAGCAGGCCGAAGAGAACATCGGTATTGAGCGAGCGCTCGTGTGCCTCATCCATGATGATAGCGCTGTAGTTGTCCAGGTCAGCCTCCCGCAGCGACTCACGGAGGAGGATCCCATCTGTCATGTATTTGATCACTGTGTTCTCGGATGTGCAGTCCTCAAAGCGGATGGCATAGCCCACCTGGGAGGGCAGAGATACCAGAAAGTCTTCCAGCAGCCCCATGCACTCACTGTCAGCGGGCCGTGCCCCTGCACCCACTGCCAGACTCACCTCCTCTCCCAGACGCACCCCCATCTCCTCGCTGACCCGCTTGGCGACTGACATGGCAGCCACTCTGCGGGGCTGGGTGCAGCCAATCATGCCATAGTCTGTGTAGCCATCCTCGTGGAGGTACTGTGTCAGCTGAGTCGTCTTCCCACTCCCCGTCTCCCCCACCACAATCACAATGCTGTTGTCTCTGAAGAAAGGGAAAAAAATATTTCTTCGTACACCACAAAGAAGGGCTTTTGCATTCACAGCCCTGGCTGGCCACACAAGCATCATCCTACTCAGGCAGAAAGGCTGCCACCAACCACACAAAGCAATTGGCTTTGTTTCCGGAGGGTACAGCTTCCAAACGGGCCATGTATCTAGGAAAATTTCTCACTTGGGCTCCTGAGAGGAAGGCTGTACGACCAGATCCCCAGCAGCCATACCTGAGGACGGAGAGCAGCTCCTGCTGCACGGCAAAGATGGGCAGATATTGTCTCTGCTCCAGGATCGATTTCTTCTTGGCAAACTCACTACTGGCTTCACTTTTTTCTTTCATGTGTTCGGCAAACTTCTGCTCCGTCCTAAGGGAATAGCAGAAGTCCTAAAACTGCCTCTCCACACACTTTGCTATGCCTACAGCCCCCATCACCGGCTGAGCAGAAGTAATGCAAATCAAGCTCCTACTTGTAATCCACTTTGCCATCTTCTGTCACCATCTCGTCCTTCTCCTCCTCTTTCTTGATCCCCATAATGTCTCCCAGTTTTGTGCCTGCCAGCTCCCAGTGCTTATGCTGAGCCTGGACAGACAGAGCGCAGTGTAATTTTGCCACAGAAAGCACTGACAAATCATTCTTCTCCAATCCTACTCTTAAGACTAGGAAAGCATATTAGCCCCACAATCCCCCAGTGCTACAACACAAAACGCACACCCCATTCCTACATCAAGTTCCCCTCTTCCACGTGCATGGCAGCAGAGCTTTTACACACTGCTCTGCATGTAGAGACTTCAGGCACAGGATGACCAACTGCCTCCTGAGAAAACAGTTCCAGCTGCTGACCCTTCCATTAAACTTGAACTTAAACCTACACAAATCTGAACCAGAGATAATCTTCCTGCTTTTGACAGGTGCTCACAGGCCTCTCTCCGACCTTCCTGCTTGCTCCCAGCTCTGATACCAGTTTAGCTTCCACCTCCGTTCCATTCATAGCATACGTAGCTCAAATACAGCTCGGTTTCAATTTACAAGGAACCATCTGCACTTTCCCCACAGTAATCACATAACCTTGAGAGAAAGTCCCTAGAAAACTCACCAAGCTAATATGCTGCCTTACTGCATACTCCTCCTCACAGCTCTTCTGCTAAGATGTGACGAGATATATCCTGTCACCATACTGACTGCTGACTGTCCCTAAGCTACCTTGCATTCTTCTATCTCCTCTCTTCTCCCATGATCCAAATGTCTTTTGGATTAGATTCCTTTCCACAAGTACACAGTGATTCATGTCTCAGGCAGTGCCTGAGGAAATCACATCACAGCGGCTGCTTATGAGACAATGCAATGAGCTGGGCTACCAGGATATCCCAGGTCATAAAAACATGAAGTCCGTATCATCATTGCCATCACAGCCTGTCTTCTGCAAAGTCCAACAAAGGCTGTGAGACACTACACGACACGTTTACAGTGAAGTAGTAAGTCAAAAGGTCACAGCATACCCTCTTACGCTCCTTTTGCTCCCTGTGCTTGCGCACCAACTGGCTGCCTTTCCGGGCTATGATGGCCAAATCCGAGGTGGCATCCTTCACAGGGATGACCGGCTCTGGCTAGAGGAAAGAGGTATTGCTTCAGCAGAGGGCTCGTACTTGTGGGGCCCCCCTGCCATCAGCGCTCTCAGCCACAGTCTCTACCTGCTTGGTGAAGACAATCCTTCCATCTAGGAAAGGAGGCACCAGGTTATGCACCAACAGATGCACTTTAGCAGAGTTATCCTCCTCAAAATCTTCGTCCACTTCAATTCGATGAACCACACCACTGGTCAGCATACGATTCGTCTCCCAGCGCTCGTTATCCTGCAGGAAACAGCATATTAGAAAATACACAGAAGCCCCACAGAAAGCCCGAGAGATCACATCAGGACACTGAGCTCCGGTCTGGGGCCCACACATAACAGGATGAAATCGATGGTTCCAGCCTAGGAAGTCTGAAAGTAAGCATTAGGAAAGAAAGAGTAATTGGAAGCAGCAGGGTACAGGAAACACAGACTGGCCATATGAAGCCCAGGGTCAACAGGACTATCTCCAGGGAAACACAAGACAGACATTGTCCACAAGGCCCCTGCCATACTCAGAATACACCAGGACGCCTGGACATAATCCTGCTCATGTGCGAGGGCAGCAGCCCCCAGCGTCCACTAGGCCAACAGCAGACAGCCCTAGTGGTGTAACTCACACCCCAGAACAGCAGGAGCATGACCCTCTGCGCTCCTGCTGCCCCAGACACTGCGACCCACCCGTCACTCAGTGTGCATTCTGCCCCACACAGGGCTGCACCTTCCAGAGGAACTTAATGATACTTTCCCTGCGAACCCTCGTTCAGTCTGCCCAGGACACAGACTGCTGTTCTCCACCTGAGAACAAGGGTTCAGTGCTCACTGCCAGTAAGCAGATGTCTCAAGGGGCAGCAAAACCCACACGTTCAGAAGAGCCAACCCTGCATCTCGCCCCTACCTCATTTATCTGCCGCCGCTGTGCCGAGATGCGCTTCTGCCTCTGCTTGTGCAAGTGCTGCTCCCGTTTCTTCACGTACTCCTCCGAGGAGTAGGCCAAGGGGTTGTGAAACTCGTCGTAGCCCTCATCCATCATGTACCAATCCCGGTCAGCTTGCTGGGAGGGGAGAGACGCGGCCCTAAGCTCTGTTGGCCCCACAGCACAAACCCGTGGAGAGGCTCCCCGGGCCAGGCCGTGCCCCCCCCCAGCCAGCCCAGCTGGGCAGCCCCAAGCCCACTGCGTGCCCGACTCCTCATCCGCCTTTGGACTCTCACCCGCTGATCGTCCTCCCACTGCTGCCGCTCCTCCTCCGTCTCAAAGGCAATGCCCTCCTCCCCATCCGCACGTCGCCCTGGAGGGGGTGAGCTGGTCAGTCTGGGTGCTGGCCCGGCTGCTCCGGAGGATATCCCACAGAGCTGAACCTTGTGCAGTGCAGGGAATTCTGCTGCTACCCAGCCCAGCCCAGGCTCCTCACCTCTCCCTCTGGACAGCCGTGGCGTGGCCCCAAGGTGCCTGCGGTCGTCAGCCCACTCGTTGTATTTGTATGACGGAGTGGGCAACGGCGTCTTATCTGAGTACCGGCTCCTCACAGACCTGAAAAAACAGCAGGAGAAAGGAACTGGTGCCCACAACCAGGCGCTACTCTCACATACACCATCCCCTTTCTGCAGCACTGATACCTGTCCCGGTCTTTCCGGTCTGTGTCCCGTACTGAGGATGCCCGGTGGCTGCGCTCTGAGTCTCGATAGGAAGGCATGGGTGAGGGAGATTCCCACTGTGAGCGGCGGGTACTGTTTTTTTAGCCACTATCATCTTCCTCCCAGCTGGAGCGAGACGGCGTGGCTGCATCTAGCAGAGAAGATGGGGTTGGACACCTCATGTTCAAACAGAGATGCCGGGCATCTGGAGCCACCTTACCCCTTCTAGCAATGAGCACAGAGAGGGGTATCCGTTTGCCCTCTCTCGAAGAGAAGAGGCTGACCCAGCAATTCCAAGGAAAGTTGCCAAAGGACCACATTTCTATCACATAGACCCAGACCCGACCTCACTGCACAGAGGTCAGCCAGATTTTCACACACACAGACCTGGCAGAGTGCTCCCAGACCCAGGTCAAGCTATGCTTGCCCTAACCAAAACATTACAAGATACAGGCTTTTCTACCTACACTTGCCCCGACAAAACCAACAGAAAACAAAAAAAAAAAAAAAAAAAAGCCCCTTCCTGTTAGGTCTTACATGAGAACTCTACCAGGTCCCACTCCTACCTTTGGGCCGATGTCTGGGACTCTCTGGTTCGCTCTTCCTGCTGCCCCGCTCCGATGAGCTATCCCTCTCTGACCTGCTGCTGTGACGACTTCTGTCCCGCTCCTCTGAGAAAAGAAAGTAAGATCAGGTGCCCAGTGCATGAACAGGCTTCCCAAGTCTGCTGCAGAAAACACCAGGAACATTAGCTAAAGACTACAAACAGGCTGAGCGACAAGCCCAAACCCTACAAGGGAAGGGGCACACAGGTCTCTGAGCAGTTACCACGGTCTCGTTTACGATCATGGTCCCGATCCCTACTGCGTTCCTTCTTTCGTTCCTTGTCCTCCTTGGAGGAGGCAAAGACACCATGTTCCCGACGCTCCCTTTCCCGCTGCCGGCTGCGTTCCCAAAACTCCTCGCTGACACCCCCTGTGTAGGAAGGTGTTTCCACATAGACAGAACGGTAATGCCTAGAAAGTGAGAGCAGAGAAAACAAAAGCTCAAAAGCGTTGAGGAACAGCTGGGCTTTGACTTGCCTCGTATAACTCCAGTTCCAGCTCTACTGCAGCAGAAGCCTGCGGTTAGACGCGCTCCCTCCATCCCTCGCTAACAGCCCACCATGCCCGCTGCGCTCCCAGACGTGCGCTCCGGAGCGAGCTGTTGCCTCGGGCACCAGGACGCCGACTCACTCATTG